GAGAGAGAGAGAGAGAGAGAGAGAGAGAGAGAGCAGTTCTATAATAATATAAAACAGGAAGGAACATGTTTCTGTTAATCCAAAAATCCGAGAAAAGTGAAAAGAATAATATTATTATTACAATCATATTGCACTCTTGTGCACTCATGGTGCAATTATCTCTATTTGTCATTTCTTTGTTTCTTGTCTCTTTCTTTTATTCTTTTTCTGTTCTTCTTTAGACGGTGGGGGTAGGTTCAGAGTCCTTTGTTTTGTTTTATATTTCAGATGAAACTTTTTTTGCTGTTAGTAGTTAGTTGAAAAAAAGGCGAGGGTTGGGGTGTGAGGGGAGGGGTGGTTGAGATCTATATGCGTTGCTTTTACAGTGTCTGGCCTGAGGGGAAGGGTGCACAAAGAAAAGCTTGCACCCGTTAAATTCTCTCTTCTTCTCCCTCGCAGTTGTATTGTTTTAGATAAGAGGTCGTAAAGGGCATCAACTGCCCTCCAGCCCTCTACGGCTGGGTAAGTATGTGAAGTTGAAAGGGCGTGAGAAACTCTAGAAGTACTAACTTCCCCCAGATGTCCCGAGCGAAGACCAGAGCCCTGTCTTGTGGGTGTCTATGTAAGGGAACGATGCAAGGCTAGCGCCGTGGGCCATGTTGGTTTTATCCCTCTGTGAACCGAGCGAAATAACGGTTAACTTTGGGACTGTTGGGTGAGTGTTGGCGTGATGGTGGGGGTTGTGGGGGCGGGGGGGGGTTGTGTAATTTTTTAATGGGATAAAAAGAAAAGGGACGGGGTGAGGGGGGGGGAGTGCTCAAAATATACAGGGAAAGGGGTGTTTCCTGTTGTTTGGGGTTGGGGGTTGTTTTGTTTTGTTTGTTTTGGTTTGGTTTGGTTTTTCGTGTTTGCCTGTTTGTTTGTTTTTGTTTTGTTTTTTGTTTTTTTTGTTTTGTTTTGTTTTGTTGTTGTTGTTTTTTTTTTGGGGGGGGCGTTATGCGCGTGTGTTTGGGAGGGAAGTCATTTTTTGAGAGGGAGGGGGGTTGCAGCTCATACATTGAGGAGGTTTCTGCAAAGTCTGTGATTTGTAAATGTAAAAAGGGGGAAAGGGGAGGGGGTGGAGGGTTGACATCTTTCACCTCAGTGAACATACATTATCAACATTCCTGACATAGAAAAAATTCGAAAGACTGATGTTAAAGCTATATTTCTACTTTCGTTTGCATGGAATAATAAGACC